AGGCTCTGGAATGATCTTGCGAGCAAAGCCTCAGCCCGCAGCGTGGGAGCTGGGGTGGGATCCAGGTCCCCCAGCACCGCAGGGGCCCCGGGCCGGCTGTCAGCAGCCTCCTCGCAGCAGCAGCCGCAGGAGGAGAATCGTCGTTCACTCACTTTTTCAGTGCCTCCCTCAGGTTCTTGAACCTGCCCTCTGACGACACCAGCTTTTGCAGCTTATCGATCAGAGCCTTCGTCTGCAAGAAACCCAAAGTGTCGCCTGGAGAAGGTCCTGGAAGAATTTTTTTTTGGGGGGGTGAAGCCTGCGGAGCCGCAAGGTCGCTCCCATCCCGCCCTGCCCGCAGCAGCCACCGAGGCACGTCACCCCCTCCAGCTGCTCGACACCTTTGCAGGTACAAACTCTGCGCTGGCCATTACACCCAGCTCCTGGTGACGTCAGAGGAGCTGAGCAAGCACTTGAAAGCAAAGCTCCTCCAACATATAATAAAGACAGGCTATGCACTTGCTTCCTTCCCCTGCCTCCCACCTTTGCCTTCGCCAGTGCCTGTTTTAATTAACAGGTTTATCACTTTGCGGGAAAGACGACAGTGTTTCAGATTCAGAGAAGCCCACACAGCGGTTCTGGCTCAGCAGCCCCTGAACTCCATCAGGCTCTGCGCCGTGCAGGTACAAGCTATTTCTGTACCAAGTACCTCAACACAAGAATTCATTTTGCTCATGCATAATTGGTCTGAGAAGCCCAGAAAACCAGTTTAAAGAAGCGTCTGTGTGTATGCATACAGCTACGATGACTCTTTAGAAAAGGTTTCTTTAGCTGCACATCTGACCTGCAGATGAATAAACCCAACAGCAACGCAGGGTCTGAGCTGCTTGCACATCAGCTCCCTCCTGGGAAAGACCTATAAAAAACTTACTCCGTTTTCTAATGTTTTTTTCAATGCATGTGTCTTATGTCATCCCAACTCCACCCCACTCAGCCCACCAAACCCTGCCCTGCCTCCCAGAAGAGGGTCAGCCCCGCGCCCCTACCTGCTTGGAGACCTTGAGCCAGGTTTTCTTCAGGCGGAAGATGGCACTGCGGTTGAGGGAGGAGGTGATCTCCAGCACCGCGTTGTAGTTGTGCAGGCACCTGCAGATGTCCGCCACCGCCACCCACTTCTCGATGGCGCTCACCCGCGCGTTGAGCTCCTCGTTCCGGAGGATCTCCGACGCTATCAAGTTACTGACCTTTGGGGAGACACCGGTCCCAGCCCGCACGTCAGGAGGACTTTGGACAACAGCTATGCGCCCTCCAGCCTCGCGGCATTTTTTAAAAAGATTTCCCTTCACTGCAGTAGCCCCAGCAGGAGCAACTGCACCAGGAGATGCTCCACCTGCAACGGGTCCCCAAGGCACGTAACGTCTGTGGAGCACGGGTGGGGGCAGATAAAGCTAGTACATCCCAGTCCCTGGCTAACACCGGGGGCAGGTTGGCTGCGCTGCCTCACCTCTGCCCGTCTCCCTGTCCCCTGCCGGGGCTGCACTTACGTCATTAAAGTGTTTTGTGTTCTTCATGATGTAAGGAGTCCTTTCGTTCTTCTCAAGCTTCATCCAACCTTGCCCGAAGAACTCTCTGCAAACAACAATGTGCAGGTCAACTTTTGTTTCCTGTTTTTCTGGGACACCCAAGCCCTACAAGCTCCACTGCACCCGCACAGGACGGAAAGGGACCGCACGGATGGGTTTGAAAGTACGATGGACATGCGAGGCTCTCCCTGAGCCAGTCACCCCAGGGATGCCACCAGATAAGCCACAGGGTCAGGCCTCAAATCTGGGCTCGAGCCCAGCCTGGGCTACCTGCAAAGCAGGCGGCAGCTGGGAAGGGTTTAGCCTGGGAGGGGGATCGGGTGGCCACAGAGTCCAGGGCGACCAGAACAGCCCTTCCTCACTCGTGGCGATCACTCACTCATATGGGATCTTCTTGAAGACCAGGTGATCCAGCAGCGTCAGCTGTTCTGCGATTTCCAGGGCCGAGTGGTTTTCAAAAGGTTCTGCTTTGACTCCTTCAGCCTGAGCGACAAAGACAACAACGAGGGCTCGTACGTTAAGAGCACAGTAAGAATTTCTACATTTCATGCACATAAAATCAAAGCCAAAGTCGGACTCCCAAGCCAAAGGCTTTTCCCCATCGGAGCTGGTGTGCGCGGTGCCACGCCGCTCCGGTGGTCCAGAGGCACCACATCGCATCCTGCGGCCCGCCAGCGCTGAGAAGTGCCGGCTCCACACAGCCCTGCGAACCCGATGATTTTAATTATGTTACCATCTGAGCACATGTACAGACACAAAATTAACTAATCTTCTCTATTTAAGTAATTAGGTGTCAGCTACGGAACGGATCCCCGCACGTTGACTTCTGCAACCGCTGCCTTTTTCCTCTGCATCTGTTTAATTCATAAAGCACCAGGGGATCCCAGCTGGAGTGGTGCTGCCGAGCCGCTGCCTCGTGCCCGACTAGCCCTGCCCGGCAGCTTGGCCAGCCTCGCCGGCACCGCTCCACCAGCACCTGTGGGGTCGGCAGCTCCCAGACCCCGCTGCCGCTCGGGATGGCTTTTCCAAGGGATGTCCAGAAAAGCAGGAGAACGGGGATGCTCCCCATCCCTGCTGCCTGGCTCTGGCCAAGCGGCGCTTGCAGGCGCGGGGACTCGGGGTGCCCCGTGCTTGGAGCCACCGGGGCTGACAGCGAGAGCCTCCGGACTGCATGGAACGTGCAGGGACTCCTCTGTGCTTCGGCACAAATACAGCCCAAACTTGGGGTTTTCCCAGCAGGGAATGGTCTAAAAACCTGCCACAGCATCCCTACTCCTGGAAACGGGCAGCAGCATCTCTCCTGTCCGGGTCCCAGGAGAGGAGATGTAGCAGCTCCCAGCACAGGGGGGTGCAAAGGAAAGGGGAGCCAGGCTGACATCGTGCCAGGACGGAGCAGCGCGATCGGGAACTGCGGGTGGCTCTGGGGACGGAGCTGCAAGGGCCAAGGTGCAAAGCACAGAGTGC